CAATTTCACACTACTTTCTGAGTCATATACATTCGATGAACCATAACATAATCCATTTTGTTGTTATCACTCATACTCCAAGTGTTATCAAAAGTACATTTATGGTTATCATTATTATTATTATTATTTATTTAAGTTATATTGTCTCATCTTCAAGTATTCATCCTTCCAAACTAGTAATCTATTCTTTCTCACCCTTGATGTCTCACAACCCCATTGTACTTTTCATAGACGAACTGAAAAATTTCCCCACCCTATTTTTGTTCCACTTTACTCTCACAACGGAAAACCTCTCTGACCGAGTTGCTTATTCACTCACCTGTATTACATTGATCTTTGCTCCATATCACTATGTAATTGGATGATTGTAAAGGTCACCACTTTGTGTACCAAAACTTGAATATTAACATGAAAACTTAATGTCTCACATTGATACTCTTGTAAAGGATCTTCCTAGCAAGATTGAAACATTGAGGAATAATGCACAAAATATTTGTTTATTTTGTTATTTGTTCTAATATACTACGCCGGGATTACACAAGTAAAAATACATCCTATACAATGAATCATATTAACTCGGTGCCCAAGTTTTTTCAAACCATCCAGTCCATTGTTGGCCAGGATAACTTCAAATTCAATAAATTCTTAGTTGATTTCCGACCCAACCAATTAATGGAAAAGACACGATGGACGTGTAGAAACGTGTATTAAGGTCGAATGACCAAAAACAAAGGAGAATACAGCTACTAATTGCCTATCTAACTGTAACGTGATAACATAAGCTACATTTTAATTGGTCGCTCTCCAAACTAGTCATTTCTCTCTCTCCTCATATCAAGGTATATGACACAAGCATGAAACCAAAAAAAACTGAATTGAAACATTAAAACGTAATACACCTTAGTATCTAAATGTTTGTACTTGTTATCATTGTGACAATCTGAGAAAACCGTGGTTTGATAGACTAATATTGATAATGGGTGATGATTGAAGGTAAAATGAAAACTTGGATCGCTACTAAATTCGAACCGGTGACCATCAGGTTTCTCGCCCATCATCAACATAAGACCAGGCATTACTGCGTAATGGTCCAAATTGCCACACCTCATATCACTACATCAAGCAACAAAGCAGTGAAGTGCAAGATGAAGATAAGAGAATGCAGTCAAAAGAAATATGAAGTACTCAGAGAGAGAGAGAGAGAGAGAGAGAGAAAGGAAGAGTGAGAAAATGGTTCGATTCGGTATAGCGTCGTTAAGATGCCGATAATGTGTGTGTGCATACATGTGCCCCACTGATATCGGTTCTCAGTCATATCATCACCTACAGTCAATCTCCAACTACTCGTTCCTCTTGTCCCATTAACCCCAAACATTCAGTCTGCATCGCCCCACATGGTTCAAACCAACAGTCAAACACTTCATTCATTGATGCCATTTTTTAGTTTGGCCACCCCGGGCCTTTTTCCAGCCTGGACCTACTTCGGCCAACATTGTGTGACGAGGCAGTCTTTGACTAGACATACGTAACATGCCATCTGTCCATCAAGGTTCACAACCTCGTCAACTGACTTATCTCTTCTCCTCCCTAAAACTTTACACCTAATTTCTGCGTTACTCATACCGTGACACCACGGAATATGGCCTATACTAGGAAGGCAACGGTGGTCTAACACCTGAAACTTTCCCATGTCTTCCACCTTCAATGGTCATTTTCCACAGTCATACACAGTAGAACAGAGCAGACTGCTGTGCAGTACACACCACCCTTAATCGACAATCGGATATCACGACGGCACCACAAGTGGCGTAAGTTGACAAAAGCCAGTCGATTCCCTTGTATTTGTGCAGAGATTTCACAGGCCATTGACCTACACACCATGGCTGATTCCACTTCTCAGGTAAGTGAAGTGGTCAACACACTGAACCACTACACTCTGTATTGTTAGCTGAAGCAGTGTTGAAGACCAATCCTGGAGCGACAATTTGGATAGAGGTGGTGAGAAACGCATCCCAAGCATTCTAAAAGTGTTCAAAAGACTCTGCATCTTGGCAGTATTTTCACCTAACAGGACTATTTCATGTGAGTATTTTAGGTCTAAAGAAAATTCTCTTGCGATTACGTCAACGTCTGTGTAGTCAGGTGAAGAGAGGGAGACCTCAATAAGAATATCTATGATAAAATTGAGTAAGAATGGAGGCAGTAGGCACCCTTGACGGACACCACTCGATGAGCATAGCTCGCTGGACATCTCACCATAGGCTTTAACACAGCTGCGTGATCTCTGACTGTTTAGTTCTTAATCCGCAACCTCCTCGTTAATATCAGATTTATAGTGAAGGAGTGGAACAACAAACTGCCATTCCTAGATGTTTTGGTCTGTACAACTAACTCTGGAAAATTTGAAACTCAAGCGTACAGAAAACGAATATGCACTTGTCAAATCCTTAAGTACAATAGCGACAGCTCACAAACTTTATTCAATTAAGCGAGCACACACTTACCAGTACAACAACTTTGTGTTTGTCCTAAGGAAGAACGGCTACCGGCGAATCTTTTTTAGAAGATGCCTGTGCTGTGCATCATTCAACTACAAAGTCATCGACAGAAATCAATAAACGCATCATTCTACCGTACATAAAGAATACATCAGAAATCACAAGATTGCTGAGATCACATGGAATTGGTGTGACTCACAAACTAACAGATTCCTTTCGAATTATGGGTGACTTCGAAGGCCACCTTAGCAACAGTTCAAATGACCAATCAGGTTTCTCCATTTCAACTGGAAAGGTAGATATTCATAAAATACAGAAATCTAACAGGTTATTCTATTTGTTACTAGGGTGGCCTTTAAAATCACTCGTGAATACACTACTTGATATGGGATGCATTAATACATGAACACACAATGAAGTGAAATATGACACCTTCCAAAAAGTCAGTATAATTAGAAAGATTTTAATTCATCCAACTAATGAATGACTAACTGATACATTCAATAGTAGAATGACTTAAAATTTATTTCAGAGAATTGAAAAATTCTACTTCCAATTAGAAAAAAACTAAAAAGCAATGAGATTATAGAAAGAAAGTTAGTGTCCGAGGTTTTGTGAATATACATACTGATTTGATAATCAGTAATATATTGTACCTGAAATATTATCTAACAGATAATACTATGTCACTGTGAGTTATATCAAATTAAGAAACAACCGATTGTGGAGTTACATTCTTCTACACTATATTCAATTTTTATTATTATCTAATGTCAGACATGTATTGAATGAGTTCGACGGATCTGTGTCGCTTTTCTTTTTCCACTTTATTACTTACAACAATTAGTTCTCACCACTGCTAAGCCACTGTCTACATCAGTCATCAAGAGTGGAAAATGACTAGACGTAAACATATCTAGTTGTGGCATCAGTCTATAAAGTTCAATTGTTCTGCTGAATCCCTGGAAGCTACCTGACTAGTATCTTGGTAAAGAAAGAAATCAATTGTTGAAAAATCGGTTAAAATAGCACAGATATATATAGTCTTTATTATTGTCGAAGTTTTAAACATTGTTACTAACTTCTATGGTTGAATTCTGTATCCATTTCTTCTTTGTCTAGTGTTGTGAAGCGTAGTAAGTTGAACTGATATATTTCTGTTGAAGGTTCCACTTTTGTTTTTCTCTCTTTCGTGGGTTACATCTGATAGATTCAACTTTACGAAACACTATAAAATACTAACAATCAGATAATTAGTGCGTAACTCATAAGTCTAAAATGATTATATATAATAGTCTATGACGATAAGTTAAACAGACGATAGCGATTGGTATCCATAAGTATGGTATGCCCTTTGTACCATCGAAATGCAAAGTACTTTTGGAAGAGCATGTATCTGCTCTCACCCTCGCTGGTGAGCTGTTGGAAGTATTCGTAAAGTTGTTCGTGTATCTAATTAGTTGCATGAGGGATAAAATTTCCAACTGCATATCGGAAGACAGAATAAATTACACCGATCTAGGCTACCTTTGGCACCGTCACGACATTAGTCTGAGGATGAAAAAGGTCGGGTTTACGACGCTTCAGTAGACCAGTTCCACTTTATGTCTGTGAAACCTGACCTCTTCGAGCTGAGGATATGCGACGATTCTGTGTGTTCAGTCATCGTTGTTTCCGTAGGATTGCTCATATCCAGTGGGAACATCATGTAAGTAGTCCTGAGGTACGACAGCGTGTGTTTGGGTATAATAGAGATCGTCATTGAATCAGTGAATTCATATGGGAACACCAGCGTCGGTTGATTGGACATGTACTACGCATGTCGTCCCAACGGCTTCCTCATCGTTCATTGTTTGCTAGCCGTGGGAACTTGGTGGAAGAGGCATAGAGGTGGTGAGTATATGACGTCGTGCCGTGGGATAAAGGATGTTTGTAATGGGTTAGCATCTGCATCATGACTCTGGGTTGGGTCCAAGAGATGACGCAGCTCAGTAACTTGAGACGTTATTAGATATGACTGAGAACCGAAACAAGTTGCGGTCATCCTGTAGCTTTCTTCTGGTGCTATTCTTATTTTGTTTTTCTTATCCACTTTCCATCGCTTTATGTCTTCATAATGTTGTTATATTATTATTTTGTGTGATGCATTTCTTCATGCCTTTTACTGCATCTAAAGATAATAATAGGACTGTTTCACTATTTTGTTTAATTTCCACTTACTTCCACTATATTCAGTCTAGACGGAGTTGTAGCTCATTGGTTTAGATAATTGACTTTCAAGTAATGGGTCATACGTTCAAACCCTGTTCCACCTACCAAGTTGGTTTGGTGAGCTGGGTAATATCATTAGCTGTCATATGCAATAGGTATGTCATAAATGCACACGAGTTTGATGAATGGACTTCGTCTTCATTACTTACATTCACCTTTCGATAGTATACATTTCACAATATAAATTTTTAAACAAAATATTTTCCATCTTTCTGTGTGTATACATTACAGGCTGTTTGCTGTGATGATGGAAAACATTGTTGTCCAAATGGATATAAATGTGATTTAGGTGCTGAAAGGTGTATACAAATTTCTTCGAATGAATTAATGAAACCTCCAGCACCTACCTCAATTTTATCACAGTCAAAAAAGATTTCAAAAAATATTATATGTCCTGACAGTGATGTGATGTGTCCTTCAGACTCTACTTGTTGTAAAGTACCTGAAGGAGGATGGGGTTGCTGTCCTTTCCCACAAGTAAGTATATGTTATTGATATTATCATGTGAATTGCGACTGTGAAGGAAGAGTACCCAGCGAGTATATAATACTTATCAAAGCTCTCTACTTGAACTCACGCAGCTGTGTTAAAGGCTTATAGAGAGTTGTCATCGGAGTTGAAGATAACTAGTGGTTTCCACCATGGATGCCCATTGTTAACATTCCCGTTTAACTTCGTCATAGACGTACTAATCGAGATAACCTTAGATACGTCCGACTTCACAAGAATTCATCTACTCCTTGGTGGCCATTTGGTTGACTTGAATTATGCATACGATACTGTCCTGCTCGGTGAAGACACTAGCAAATTGCAGGGTCTTCTGAACGCTTTGAGCGTAAATCTGTGTATGTTTGGCATGCGTGTCACTAGCACCTGTGAAATGTAAAATGATGCTGCAAGCATGACTGGTCTACAACTACACTCAGTTTGATGACAGCTTCACTTACTTGGGAGTTAAAGTAACCCAAACTGATGAAGCCTCAGCTTGGATAGCAAAGGCCTGTTTAGCATTCGACAACTATGACAACCGTCAGTGAGATATCCGATTATCTATTTGAGGATGGGTATACTGCGCTGCATTTTATTCTGTGGTGTCATATAGCTATGAGGCATGACTTGGAAGTAGAATAGATGAAGCGGTTAATGGGTTTTGATCACATATGTCTTCTCAGCATTGTTCGTCTTTAGTGAAATCACCATGTTAGCAATGTTGAGGTGAGGTGAAGAATACTAAGTAAGACAGGCAAGCTGATCAATGAGGTTATGAACCCTATTTAACTGAGATGATGTAGATATGTGCTACACATGCTTAATCGAGCTACCGCTTACCTTGACATCCCATGCCAGAGGGAGTTGGAGTAGGTTGAACGAGGATTCAGAGTGACCACCAGTCGATGAGATCCCTGACTGTTGGTCTGAGCCGTGTTCAGAGATGTAGACTACCTGACTGAGGTCTCTGGGACGTTAGGAACTACTGGTTAAGGACTTTTGGTGACATGGCTGAAAATTAGTCGAAATAGCACAGATGTATTCACGTAATTTATCATTTAGTTTGCAGTATAACTTGAGAGTTCTTTATTGTAAATAGAATTGTAAAACAATGATAATTTAGTTGAAACATGCAAAATAGGTCAATGAATAAGAAACGAATTGACATTAACTAGTGAAATATGGATCAAATGTTGTCAATGAAGTGATAATGATGACAATAAAAGAGAAGTATACTAAAGTGAAGTGAAATGAAATTGACAAAAGTATCCAAAATGAATTGTCAAGACTAATGTAGAGAAGGCAATTTCACAAAACGTTTTTAAATGAAAAGTTTCAGTTATTGTACATGTATAGATAATGCTTCAGCTATGCATAAGTGGTGGCAACCTAGTAGACTTTGGAGTAGTTCAGTTTAACTTCGTATCTCGTGGCGCTGAATGATCTAACTCTACTAGATGTTCACATATGGATGAAGTCATTTTCCTTTGCTTGCCTTTGATAAGCCGAACCGGGTAGTGTCCAGCTATACGTTTTCGGAGGACCTGATTACAACGTCCAATATAGTCAACTTCACAGGAGCATATGAACTTGTCGATACATATAGATGTGAACATAAGTGGAAGCCTATCCCTCACGCATTGTCGAACCAGACGGCGGCTGGGGAATATCGATCTCACTCTAGCAACATAGAAGCTACTATTGATACACTTTGACAGATGATTTTTCAGTACCTCGACTGCGGTGTCTCTTTTGAATTCTAGATCCATGATTAAGATTTTCTTAAGGACTATAATTGGATGGGGAGTCATTTCGTTTCTTCAGATTCTTATCAATAAATCTTTTAGGGTATCTGTTATTCGATAGTATTGTTCTAGGAGTTTCCATTTTAACACCCACCATGTCTTCTGAATAGATTTTCTAGATTCTAGAACATAGTGAGTGAATGAGATTTCTTTTACAACTATTAAATTTCGTGAACTAGCCGCTTCAGCTTGGTTTTCGATAGACTGACCTTTGAATCGAGCCATTATTCCTTCTGTTTAACATTACATCTGGAAAGTGGAATGTTAAATTTAACTCTTCCTCTACAGGGAATTTAATGGACGGATGATAATCATTGAAAATGTCTTAGGTGGTCATTCATTGAACATGTTTCGTCGCAAATAAGAAAAGTGTCGTCAATGTACCTTTCATACAAATAAAGTTACGAGATTATTTCTTTAAGTTGCCCATTTTTGAACTTTGCCACAAAAATATCAGTCAGGACAGGGCCTAATGGGAGACTCCATTACAACTCCGTCCATCTGATTCAAAAGTATATCATGAAATCGAAACTGTACATGAATATCAGTTCTTTTAGCTAGTTTCTAGGTAATTCAATGTTAATATTTCAAAATATAAATTGGTGTGTAGTTTGGAAATTGGCACGTACGCAATAAATAGGAGGTGTGAAACAGTCCAATACATATAGACTTGTTAGCTTACTTAGAAAGTAGTCAGTTATTCTTCAGCAGAAGTAGCATTTACTGGATGACGTTTCGAGCAGAAATTATTACTCATAATCACATCGGAGTATCCATACTACTTTCAAATCTTACTTTTGTATTCCAACAGTCCCTCAAAATTTTTATTTTTATGGTAGTTATGACACTCCCATGATATGTGTTAGTTGATGATTCAATAAGTAAATATTCTGCGTTCAATCTCTCCCTCTCCACCTAGAGCTAGTTATATTGGATTTTAGAATTGTCACCCTATCCCACTCGCAGTAGAATGCAATTATAGATCAGTGTGTGCAAAAGGATAAGCTAGTTTTCCTCTAAATTACTTCTCTTAGTAAAGGATGTTATTGTATGCTTTGTTAATATTTTGTGCCTTGTTATTTTAATTGACCCCGATCGTCTGCTTTCATCAGTATGCTTGATCTCACAATCACTACATGATATTTAATAGATAAGATTATTCTTCATAATTGGCTCTACTGGGTCTTTTAGCCTACAACGTTTCGATCTGGATGAGTTTATATGTTTAAATGCCACTCTAATCTCAGTATTGTTAAGATTCCTACATAAAATTTCTGATGTATCTTTTTTGTATGGCAACACTAAAGAGAATTTGATTTACCTGTTAAGCATGTTGCAATTACCCACTAGACCTCAGCCAAAGTGATGCGTAAACCCCTTTAAGTCCAAAACACAATCATTCAGGTTTATTACACAAGGCGGTAGTCTAAATGAAAGTTATTACCAGAATGATGCCAACTTCAAATATGGGAGTTCCATAGGGGGAAATTACCGAATCAGTTACAAGGAAGCCAACAAGATCCAACTAAAGAATCTACAAATCATGTGCAGGTTCAATTTTTCACTCCATCTTTACCCAGTATCCATACAAGTCTGCCAAACTGCAGCTATCTCAGATAATTAAACTGATAAATAATGTGCAATCAAGATTAGGAGCTCATTCACTCACTGATCCAGCAAGCAGAACGAACTAAATAATCAAGCAGCGTAATGAGAAGATAAAGATTATCTGAAACATGCCCTGATGTATTAGCGCTATACATTTCGAACAATCTGATCCCTCAAACATGGACTTGTCGAATTATTTATGTGAAAATTCACGAAAAGGGTCAACGAAGTTAACTTCATATCACGATTACTCCTCCCTATGTATGCATGTCCACAAATACATGTCAATTCATAAACACAGTGGGATGTGATGTAATCGTTTATATGTTGTTTTGGTTTGTGCTGTAACATGGACTTGGTCTTCTCCACAATGATGACTTTGGCTGCATAATACGTTTTACAAATGACCAATCTAAGTCTTTTCCTCACAACAAAGCTCTGTGAATCACCTCTAAATGGTAAAGAGATGTAGACATTTCTCATAGCAACGGAACACTGTATACTTTTCAATTATAGATAACTTTTGCACTTATGGATAAATCTCAACGGGTATCCATTCTGTGTCAGTGTTGTCGTCAGTAAGTTGGTTCCTTCCTCCCTGTTATTGGTGCAAATGCAGTTTATCCTGTTGAATAAGCATCTAACTAAACCATGTTTACATTGGAGTACGCAATAGGTATGGGAATTAAAGATATTGCCATGTCCACGTAGCTTTCTTACAAATCGACCTCCTGATCGAGCCATCCTGCTGTCGTCTGAAGAATATGTCTAGGAACGGTAGCTGGTTGTTTGTGTCTTGTTCACAAGTCAGGTTAATGTGATTTTGAGCTGTGTTCATTCTCTTTAGTAGGCATATCACATCATCAGACTTTTCACATATAATGACAGTATCATCGAGACATCTCTTATAAAGTGAAACTCTTTCGATGAGATCGTCAGCCATATTTTCAATATATGATATGTATGCATCAGTTAGCAACGGTCCTAATGGGCTGACTTACGCATCGCGATGCCATGAATCTGTTGAAAGTGTTCACCCTCGAATGTGAATTCAACTTTATCACTACATAATAATAATAATAATAATAATAATAATAATAATAAATCTTTTAAAAAATTAATGTGTGTGTGTGTACATGGATACATAGGGAGGAGTAATGGTGATATGCAGTTAAGGAAGGTTGGATATGTACCTAAGTGGCTGGTATCAAAAACAAATGACGTCAACACATCAACAGATAAGTACAGGTGACAAACATCCATCTTTGTGTATCACTAAACATATGCTGGAAACTAACCATAGGATAGACATGAAAACAGCCTTTAAAGTTACTACACAAAGGTAGGTGGTCAGGGTCGAGTGCTTAAATTTATTGAAGCTCTTGTCATCCATAAATTCCAACCCCCTGCTTTATGTATACAAAAACAATTTGTACTCACATTGAACCTACCTTGGTGTTGTACTGATTTTAATTTTCATATCAAGAGTAACATGATTACGGTTTCTGTTTGTTTTTCTCTCCTTTCCTATTCCTCTATATTTCCTATTAACTTCATTGACCCTTTCCGTGAATTTTCACATAAATAATCCGACAAGTCCATGTTTGGGGGATCAGATTGTTCGAAATGTGTAGCGCTAATACATCATGGCATGTTTCAGATAATCTTCATCTTCTCATTGCGCTGTTTAAATTTATCAAAGGGACCAGTTGCTTTAAAGAATAATGAAGACCTCAAAATCTTTTTGAGGACAGTGATGTCCAGTCTGAATGAAGGTTATAATTGCAAACGGCAAGACAGGGCTGACTTTTGTTAACCGGTGCACTTCTGCCCCCTAATTTATTTAGGGTATGGAAAATAAATTATAAGGTTGTGATTGGCTGATACCTCAGTTAAAAAGATAATGTTTTTGTGTAGCTACGACATATTCCTATTGGACTAGACCAATATTGATGTGTAGATGGTTACGAACTCGTAGAGAAAAAGGTTCTCATATAATTACCAACGAGACCCAGAAGATCAAGATAGTTTCCAGCAAATTTCAGCTGGTCGGCTGTGGCAACGAAAAGTATTTCAGATCTCCACCTTCTATAACAGAGAAGGGTATCGATCCACCTTGACTGATTATGTGCTCCTGCAACTTTTCATAACTACTTACAGCAAAATGGTTTTATAGGAAAACTCAGTTACCGGTCAAAGTGCACTGAACGGAAAGGTGATAGCGCATATTGAGCACATCTTAATTATTCAGTCGTTTACCCTAGTGTGCATAAACGAAATCAACATCAAATTTAGCCGTGCCAGATATTAGCAGTGGCTTTATGCTGTCCAATTCAACTCCCGTCAACTTCATCGCGTAAGCATTATTGTCATAAAGCAGAGAATTTAAGGAATGATTGAGTTAACAGCCACCGAGTTACTGTCCAGAGAAACCTTCTAAATACGAGCACGAACTCCGGACAAGAGTACTTCAGGGAAATTCTATGAAACATAGAATGCAAACAAACAGAACTGACCTTCTTGTCACTACACTACATTATCTATTGACCCGCGTCCACTAGCCTTAAAATAAACAAACTTGATATAGGCTCTTCGATCACCTTGTGAATCTTGCACAGCGTATTGCGTGCACGTTTGCTTCTCATGTTCCTTTAAGGCATCCTTCAATGACTCTAGGCAAAAACGCTTCATAAAGATTGATTCGTTTTCGGTTACAACACTTCGGACGATATCGTCGCTCATCATGGAAATAAAGCGACCCTTCCACAGTTTGCTCCATCTTATAGTACTTTTCTGTTTCGTGCAACCAATCACGTGCAACGTTTTCATGTCCATTTTAATTGGACAACAAGTGATACAGAGAGTGAGGGGGAAGGAGTAGAAAATAGCAGTAAGGAAAAATTATTAGTTGTGGGCCAGATGTATTTCGAACAGATGGGTGGGGAGTCATGTTAAAAACATAACGTAGGGGGCAAAGATAGGCGGGGATAGCATATTCCTTACTAATATGATTACTCTTTCTTCTAGAAGTCCTTATAAACTTTTCAGTCAACTCCAGAGGGTAGTTATTAGCTAGTTGTAGCAGTATAACGTAAAACTTATACTATGCCCATTGCTCAATTAGTGGCTATCGCGACTCACTGGGTCAGTAGATAACACACTGGAGTTCGAGGCGATTGGCCTTGGGTTCGAGTCTTAGAGGGAACAACATTGCTAACATATGTGCTGAATTCCGCTGCTTTCTACTCTCCCCCATCATCTATATCGAAACTGAAGATCACGAAAATATCGCGACATCCGTGTGGAAGCCCGATCAATTTGGACCAATCCACGACGGAGATTTACGAATCATAACATTAAAACTTATTTGAAACTACTGTATGTATATATGTTATTTTGAGTATTCTATCCATCTATTGAAAATTTTAGGCAGTTTGCTGTTCTGATGGAACTCATTGTTGTCCAGCGAATACAACGTGTAATATAGAGGCAGAAGCTTGTATGAATGCATCTGGTGCCATTATCTCTTCAATACAATCGAAATTTGTGCCTAAATTTGATAATAACTTAACAAATTTACCTGTTAACATCTGTCGAGATAACAAGTCAGCTTGTGTAGGTGGTACATGTTGTCCGGGCCTGGCTGGTAGTAGTGATCAACTGTCACTTTGTTGCCCTCATGAAAATGTATGTTTCGATTAACTCGTATTTACACATATTGAACTGTGCTTACTTTTCATTTTACTTATTTTTGAGAGTTTTTGAAAAATCTGTTCGAATAACATGGCCATGAGTTGTCAGCATTGAATTGTATGTGTATGTGTGTTAGGATTCAGGTCGATCCTTCGGAGAGCTGCTTTCAAGGTTGTTATTCTAATATTCACATGTTGCATGCTAAAGTGGAATAGTCAGCGGAGAGAGAGAGAGACATCTGCAGGATCTTGTTTTCAAAATGTGACAAATTTTAGTTTGATGATGCGTATATTCAAGCACAATTTTTTTTAAGCATCAAACAATTTATCCATCTAGTTGGTATGCTTCTATGCTTATCGACTGACTTTAAAGGCAAGCCTAATAACCAAATTGGCTTTCTTTATTTTAAGCAAAACAACTGGCGTTTTAATCAAAATAGTGAAACCTGATTAGTCATGTCTAAAGTTAACGGTTAGCTGACCTTTAGAAGTCAATCATGCCTATTAGTATTCCGCTTTTTTTTTAACTGCATGTCATGTCAGTCCCTTGCAGCGTGTTACTGTATTGTGTCCTTTATCCATTAATATCAGTTGGGTAGTGCACTGCGTATTAGTGATTAGCTACGGCCCATAGGGTCAAATAAGTTTAGTGTGGGAGTGGGTACCCACCAATCACATAGGATGGTGGTTGTGCTATATCACAGGTAACAGTTAGTTACTATTAAAATTAGACCTGGCATTATTGTGTAGCAGTCAAAGTTGTCACAATTCATGACTTTGCTTAGTTGTAATTGTCCGATACACATGATTCTTCTGATTCAGTCTTCACGCTGTGCTTGTAGTGTTTAACCTTGTGTATAATGGCTTCGTCTTGTATGCTCAACTGACACCGAAACGATGAGTTACGCACTTCCGTCTCCCCCTCCCCCCAAAGCGCGTACCACAAAGGACAAAATCTAATGCTTATCGTTCATATATTTCTTGGCTATTTGAACCAACTGTATTATATTACATTATTGATTGATCGTGGCTAGCAGTTGAATCCAGGATGGGCATTTCGTCCTACTTGGGACTCATCAGCTGGATGTCTCTGCTTCCCAGTGAGTGATGTTGTCCCCACTGAGACTCGAACCTCGTCAAACGTCAGAGCGTTATCCACTACTTCACCGAGCCATGACAGCCACTTCTTGTGCGACGGGTATAGGTTTAGTATTATTGTTTTTATATCATACCGTCGTTGATTGGACCGAATTGATCGGTCTCTATTAGCATATGGGCTCTTGTGCGGATGCCTCGATATTACCTGTGTTCTAATTATATTAACGATAGATCGTGGCTAGCAGTGGAATCCAGGTTGCGCATTTCGTCCTATATATATATATATATATATATATATATATATATATATATATGCATGCGCAACTAAATTACATGATCAGAAAGGATTTGTAGCCAAGGTTCTGCATGATGGGACTAACTTCATTGAAGTTATTCAATAATATACAGTATAATAATAATGGCTTTATTCTGAAAGCTATTTCGGGAATACTGTACAGTATTTTCAGCACTTCATATAGAATCAGTTGGATAGAGACAGTGTATGTGTGTATACATAGCAGAATAAAATAAGTAGAAATTACATGAAGAAAAGATAAGAATATTCGCTCTATCTACAACTTTCTTCAAGATGCACTGTCATTTGTGCAGACAATCACGCTAACAATTAGATTCATAATACGTAAAAAGTAACACGTTCATCCTCAGTTAGTTTGCTTTCAAAAACAGAAGTTGACTCTTTAGTTCATTTCTAATACTTTCTTCATCCTACAAGGGGCGAGCTAAATGCGGTGTTGTAGACATTTTATATTCAGTAATATGTGCATAGAGTCTTATGTACTTGCTCCTCATCTTTCCAGATGACCAACATGCAGAGAGCTTTGAGTGAAGAGGATGCTGGTCATCTGATAAAATAACTCCTGCCAGATGTTTACATGAGTTAACACGTTCGTCCACAACTGTTGTAACTAGAAGGTTTAGAGGTGAACCGGTAATTCTGCTGACAATCTTCAAAGTTCTACGCAATACATAGCATAGTTCTAAGAAGGTCACCAAGTCGAATGATGAAATGCTCACAACAAAATATCAAAGTTTAGTGAACACCAAACTGCCAACAAATTATATGATTACAACGTACCATTATCTGTAAAAATGAGCCAATCGATTTCATACACAGAAAATGGGACAATACTCAATGATTGATATCGGCCAACATGCGATTATTTCGGAACTATAAACCATATAGTAATGGATTAGGGCTCAATCAAAAGCTATATAATGTTATTAAGTAAAAAATTGTTTTAAAATAAGTTAAATTATACGACGGGTGGTACTTATCTGTGCTTCATGTTTTCCACTTTACGGCAGACATAACACATCAGCACTTCAAGTTAGATGAAAGCTAAAGAAAAAGAAGGGGAAAGTAGTTAAAAGTGCTAATAATTCTTGAAAAGAAATCAGGGAGGAATAAGACAATAATGAAATTAGGCATGAAGATAATGTAGGGATACATCTGGTCCTTCGAGGTCGATTTTGAGCCATATCACCTAGAGTCTTCAACTGACTGATAACGCTTGCTTCGTGTTGACGTGAGGGTCCAGCTTGCATACTATAATGACTCAGCAAACTCTAATGGTGGAACATTTGTCTCCTTGAGTTGTTACTATACTAGGAAGGTCTGTTGGTTAGTGGTTAGACAAACAGAAGTTACCGTTATAATGTAGTATACTACGCCTTGGTGGGATTTCGAGGATAAAGATGTACTGCTGGTTGGCTAGGGTGTGACAGCAGTAAGATGTTCCCCTCGGATGACCAGCGGTACTCACGTTGATGCTGCCTTCCTTATGGAAAGGGGGATAAGAGAAGTTTGACACTAAAAATAGAACACTTCGCACTACTTCATGGCATGTCTCTGCCGGAGACCTTTTTTATTAATTGAATTTAAAAACTAGTGTACATCCCCCAACACACCTCGGATCAACAGTCAAAGACTTCATGGATGTATACCGTTTTTATTCTGGCCGCCCGCGAATTAACTTTGGCAAATACCACGCTTTGGGGAAAACTGTGACTAGGCATGCGCACAATATACCCTGATCAAGTGGCCTGAAGAAGCTTTACATTGCTATCAGCTGACTTTTCTGTTCCCCCTAAGACTCTACACCTGACTTCTACGTGACTGATGTGGTGACTCCACTATACACCGCCTATGCTACGAAGATAATGGTGATCAAACACCTAAAGCTGTTGAATGTCTTCTACGTTTAATGGCCGTTTCACTGTTATATGGTGAAACGGAACGCACTGTAGTACAGTACACTCGACGCTTAATTGGCTATTGGATATCAAGGTAAAGCCACAATTGGTGCAAGTTGGCGAATACCAATCGAGCTTTTTATATGCTTACGGAGACTTCTTCAATCGCTGTCCCCTCCCGGCCAGAACTGACCCGACTTTCCACATAGGTAGAATGGCCAACATACTTATCTGTTTCGCTTCCTATTGTTAGACTAGGCACCAATGCGACAGTTTGGGTGGTGCAAAACGCATCCCAAATATTCTCAAATTCCCACGCAAAGTGTCCAGAAGACTGCAGCTTATTGACGTCTTCAACTAACAGGACTGTCATGTTCGTATCCTAGATCCACTAACAAGTCTTCTGTGAAGTCAGAAAGAGAGAGGAAAATAGAGTTCTGTAAGTAGTACATCTATGATTAAATTGAGTAAGAATGGAGACCAGTTGACATCCTCGATCACCACTCGCCGTACACAACTTAGCTGACAAATCATCGCGGGTTTCGGAATACGAAGCCTGATTTACTCACTGGGCTCTTTTTTCACTGAGAGATATTGCCATAGAAATACTCGGTCAATAAAGTGGTACTACCGCCTTCGGGTCAAGAAATACAGCTAGTGTCAGACGTCGGTGTGTTTGTGTTCCAGAATCTGGCGGAGAATGAATACGTATCTAGTTGATACATTCATGATCAGATCTGAAACCCGCCTATTTTCCCCGAGCTCCAATACTACCAAAATATACTTGAACGTCTAATAATTAGCGGATCTAGAGTCTTAGACACTATATTCATCGGTCTGATTCTCCTGCAGTTATCACAAAGCAATTTCTCTTCTTTCTTGATTGAGATCAGCCAGACAAGATCATATCTGATACCCATACCTAAACCAACGCTTCAGTTAACCTGACCAATAATCCTCGACCGCCGTCTATAGATACCTCTGGTGATTGCCCATCTGCTGTCATTCCTCGCTTCAGTTTACTCAAAGCCTTCTCAACTCTCCTAAGAACTGGAGGTTCTATCTCAGTGCTTCACCCAAGATCCGACTAGACGGTAGACGACGCAATAGTAGCTGAATGCCAGTTGGACTGTCCCTCAGCGTGTTCAGTGCATTATTCCAGTCGTCTCCCTGACGTCCGCCAGTTTGTCTGATAGGTCTACTGTAACCTATCGTCTCGACATTTTCCACTACTTTAACCAACACTGTTCGTTGTTGTTACGTAGACTTTTCAGTCTATATTCATGTTGTTTCCGCTCCTCATTATTCTTGGATTATGCAATAATGCGTTCATGCTCATGCATGAATTTAGAAAAAACCGTTGGGATCCACTAAATATATCTTTAGATGTATCCATTTTTCTTCGTTCCTTATTTTAAAGGCTGTCTGTTGTGGTGATGGCAAGCATTGTTGTCCTAAAGGTACAGTATGTGATATGATCAATGGAGGTTGTATACCACAGGAAGATTCATCGAAACCTCAATCGCTTCTATTGTTCAAAAAGATTGCAGCTGTAAAAACTGACTCGAAAGATGGTGTTGACGAACACTCGGATGTATTTACTCAATTGTGTTCTGGTGGCAAATTTAAATGCCCTGAAACTTCGACATGCTGTAAACTATCTAATGGAGAGTATGCTTGCTGTCCAGTCCGTAATGTGAGTTAATATCAGTTGTAATATCTTACCTATTTATAGTGTTTAATCAACTTACCACTTGGTGTAGCCCAGTGACGTTTTACTCTTTATTAGGATTGACTAGTATTTTCTCCTCATTTTGTAAATATTCTAACAGTTATTGTAGTACTCTCTGAGCTTCCTGAAGTTTCAATGAGAAGTCATGACCGGTAGAGAAAACCTAGTGGACGTTGAGGATAAATACTCAACAATGATATCTGGTGATGGTCGCGCTGTCGTGAACTGACAGAAGTTAGCAATATGGACCATTGGATTTTGACTAACTGGCTCAATGGTAACGTACTGGCCATGGAACCTAAAAGTTGTGGGTTCGATCACTGACGAGGCGGGGTCATGGGTGCGTACTATCGAGGAGTTCTGTACTGGGATGAGACAGCTGTCCAGTGCTCTCATGTTTCCACTGTTTCTTCATGAGGAATATGAACCTGAAATCAATCAATCTCCACAAACTCCTAAACTTAATTAAGCAACAGAAGCCGTGTAAAACTATACTGAAGATCGTGGACGTTGAAGGATGCTCCATGTCAAACAGAATTGATTTCCATTAATCGAATGTTAACATATCTTAGCAACATTACAAAGATTGTGCAATACGTTTTTATAGAAACCTGACAATGACCCACTATAACACAACTCTGCTCATATACAAAGTAACCAAGATACAGATAAACAAATCAACTTAGAATCTTGCATAGAAGTGCATCGTTTCAAGTTTTTACACTTCATACAGCAGTATACAAATAAGAAAGGAACAGAAAGAGATTAGCATAAAAAGCAACAAAAGTATATTGGCCTAGGCACTTGACACTTTCACACCTCGCTCTACCTATCAAGGTTTGGGACATCTAAGTAGTAAACTGTTAATATTCATTCAATGTGTAATCACCTCCTCCTGAAGATTATTGATTTATTTCTATTTATTTACCTCTGGTGACTCCACTACAGCTACTTCTGTACCCATCAGCTGTCTGATGACCCGCACCAGCTCACTAATCTCCCTGGGTTGGGCTGTGTTCATTAGTCGTAGCTGCTGGGCAATACCATTCAGGACACTTTCTGTGAAATGTGCCTAGGAGTCCTCATCCAAAGCGTGAAGTGCTCGTCGAAGTAGTTTTGTCAACTTTACAGCCAATACCAGCAGATCTTCGTCTATTCGAAGTTTCGTGCCTCGGAACTGCTGTATTGTCAGTTCCCTGTCCGTCGGACTGTTAAACTCTGCCTCCAGTTGTTCTACTATTCTCTTCCAAATCTCCTCCCCACCCATGCGTTGCACACCATTATATATCGCCTTTGTTCTACCCTCCAGCAACGTGCCAAGCACCACGACCTTAGCTCCTAGGTCCTGGACACCCAACAGCTCCTTGACCGACTCCAAGTCCCTGAGGAAGACCTTGATGTCTCCCTCCTCGAACACTGCAGGCCACAGAATCTTCATCACGTCCAGAAGCAGTGACACCAATTTTAGGAAATGACAACGAGTGAACCGCAGGACAGAATGTTTATTGTGATATCTTGTACAGTACTGATGAAATATCATACACTCCATTAAAATAGTCATTTGCACAATTTGTTTCGTTTCCCCTTCTTCTTTTATCTCGACTTGGTCTTTATATGGCTGTATTGTCCCTTACGTTTCTCTTGGCTGAATCTTTACCTATCTCTGGTAATTGCCTATGATTTCTGCCAACCTCTCAACATATACTACTTATATCCATTCTTGTCAGTAGCATCCACTTCAGTATCATTCTTCTCACAATAATCATGGTTCATTGCCTATTGCTTGAACATCCCCGTAATTGCTGAGGTAGTTTAGTTTTCTTAGGAATATATAAATTAAGACCATTGGAGTTTTTCAATATTTTGAAGATGAAAAATGAGAGTATTAGACATTTGACTGTTACAACCTATGAGATTAGCTAAACTTCTATATGGAGTTTACTTTTAAGTAACGCTGATGAATGTTGTCAGTCAGACATTGTCTTATTGGAAGATCATGCGCAGACACTTAGATTCTTAGTAGATGGCCTTTTTTTCTGCTTCTGAATATTCTATTATAACCATGCTGTTTAGAATCAGGGTACGTTGATTGATTAGTCGTCATAAAACTGTCTCTTGAAAGACTGTTGTATGCCTTTGAACCTTAGAACCTATTTTGTCGCAGTTCACTATTCAACTATATATTCCAATGTATCTTCTGATTCCATCTCAACTATTATTCACTATCAAAGTAAATGTAACAACTTAGAGAGCTGTCCTTTTTTCATGAGGAGATATGTTTTCCACACTTGCAGTGATCGTGTCTGTTGAATATTGAATAATACTTTGTGGGCTAGATAGATTAGTCAAACTGATGTAATTCTGAAGAAAAAGGAGGAAGAGAAGAAGGGAAAGAAGAAGAAGAAGTAGGAAGAGAAGAAGAAGGAAGAGGGGGAGAAGAGGAAGGAGAAGAAGGAGAAGAGCATTATTTTTATTTCAAATAAATCAATAATGCTCTTCTACTGTCGTTACACTCTTATTGTGATTCATATTGTAGTGGGGGTTGATGATCAGAATGAATATAAGTAGTGTGTGTTGAAAGGTCGGCAGAAATTATAGGCAATTAACAGTGATGAGCAAAGATTCTGTTCAAAGAAATGCAAAAGACAATGTAACTTCAGTCTAGATGGTAGACAGAATTGCAACTTTGATGTATGTGTACACTTCACTAGTAAGTAATCCGCCAAACTTTATACTCACTTCATTATTTAGTACACTTCAACTCATTCTGTTTATTCTCAAAAGCTAGATGAAAGAATATTAAGGTTCAACCTATTGACCAGTTGACTATTCATTTAGGTATTTTTTTGAGGGAGTTGTGGAGATTTGGAAATATTTCAAGTTGTTATTCATCGTAGACTGACAACAATTGGAGGAACAGAAGAAACCTGGGAGCACTGGACAACTGTTTCGTCTTGGTATGGGACTCCTCAGCAGTATGCACCCACGACCCCGCCAGGGATCGAACCCGCCACCTTCAGGTTTCGTGGCCAGCGAGTTACCACTGAGCCACTGGGTCAGAATCCAATGCTCCATATTTCCAACTTCTGTTAGCTTACGATATATAGCGCAACCGCCACCCAATGTCATCATTGAGTAACTGTCCTCACGACCATCGGGCTTTGACTCCACCGGTCACAACTTCTCATTGGAACTTCGGGAATACTCTCGAAGCTAGTCACCAATGAACACCAGTTCAATTGAATTTTTTTTTGACGTGCTGGCCGCGGAACCTGAAGGTCGCGGGTTCGATCCCTGGTGGTGCGGTGTCGTGGGTGCGCACTGCTGAGAAGTCCCATACTAGGACGAAACAGCTGTCCAGTGCTTCCAGGTTTCGTTTGTTCCTCCAACTGATGTCAGTCTACGATGAATAACAACTTGAAACATTTTTTTAGATGTTTAAAATTATGAATAGAAAAATTCATTAAATGAAACATTTAGAATGTGATAGAGTTAATATACACTTGCTTTGTGAATCAACAATGGTTCATTGATATAAACAGTGTATGGCTCTATGGGTTCGAACCCTCACTCCACCTACTTCTACCTTAACAAGCAAGTAATATTATAAGTCTACATAGAGTCCCTTACTGTTGGCTTGAGCCGTGTGGGGAAGATATAGACTGCGTTTTTTTTCTTCTCTAAGACAATAGGAATCAGTGGTTGAGGATACTTAGTGACATGGTTGAAAATTGTTCACTCCATGACATCTTTTAAAGATTAAATATTTACAGTAACGATTATCTTCAGCTTTATTATTCTCTCATATTACTTTATCTACTTTAATATTCCTTTTTTTCCGTCCATCTGTTCTTTATGTACTTCTGTGAAAGTGTGGCAACTTGAGTTGATGTATCTGTGTACGAGGTTCTACATTGATTTTGTCAATCAATCAGTTGGTGTGAATAGAGATACCTGTATCGAATTGATTTTCAATAAATCATAAATAGGCATTGTAGTTGATTTAGTGATTAGTATAGGATTGTATTGTAAAAAAGCCTATCCAATCAATTACACATACTTCGCATTATCTGATCTTATGGCTAATTTATCCCTATTTAATGTCAATTGTTTGTAGATTGTTAACACCAAAAAATGCGCAATACAACCTTATATAATAGCACTACGAAGCTAGAAATGAAAGGAGTATTATATTATGCAGTGAGTCATTACCTTGTAGATTCGTCAAAGAAGCCTGAAATTTCTTTGCACAATCAATCTTTGCAAGCTAAACATGAGTGGAAAACATATTTCTATACATGTAGGCTTCATATAGGCTAAATGTCTGTTTAGAAAACTGTAGAAAATATCAAGTCTACAGAAAAATATGTATATATTTATGTACTGGGCGATGATTAAAGGTTAGAATCTGGACTTCGGCCGGATTCGAACCAGCGGCCAACGGGTTACCGGACCGATGCTCTACTAACCGAGCTACAAGGTCCGACTTCTGAACAGATTTTTACTTCACATCAATCACAAGCGTAGTTTTGGCTGACTACTATGTGAATTCATGACGCGTTACTACCGCTTGATCATATTCACACTGGCTGCCTAGTCAGGACTTCTCATCCCAATTCAAATCTAACTGAATTAGAGAGGGGGAGTATCATATTGATTATCATTTGACTATATGAGTGAGATGGGGGTGGTTTGGCAGACTAGTATTTATACCGTATGTTTATACTACGTCTATCTCAGATAGTCAAATGATAATTAAATATTATGCTTCCCCTTTCTGATTCAGTTAGATTTGGATTTGGATGAGATGTCCTGACTAAACAGCCAGTGTGAATACGATCAAGCGGTAGTAACGCGTTACGAATTTATATGGTAGTCAGCCAAAACTACGCTTGTGATTGAAGTGAAATAAAAATCAGGCCTGCAGTCGGACGTCGTAACCCAGTTGGTAGAGTATGGGGCCGGCGGTCGCTTGTTCGAGTCCGGCCGTAGTCCAGATTTTCATCTCACCTTCAATCATCACCCAGTATAAACACTAGTCTGTATTGATTGGTCACGGGAGTTCAACCAATTTCATGTTATCTAATCTTGAGTGCAGACCGAATCCTATCGATCATATTTACAATGTGGCAACCAAGCTAGAAAGCTCAGCATCGCAGTGCACATAAGTAGGTATTAGTTGGTTGGAGGCAATCGGCAGGAAGCCCTGCTTGACTTAGGTTTCGTGCTTCTTGGCACTCGTCAGCAAGGCGTATCTGCGCATTCTCGATGGAACTGATGTCCCACCTGGGATTCGAACTCGCGTCACCCAGTGCTGTAGTCAGCGTCTTTACCACTGAGCTATTCGCACCGCGATTGACCTCCTGTAGGACTGGCTTACATGTATTGATTGGTTACGGGAGTGCAACCAAATTTCATGTTGTCTAGTCCTGAGTGCATACCGAATCCTATCAATCATATTTGCAATGCCATAAAGCATGAAACCTAAGTCAAGCAGGGCTTCCTGCCGATTGCCTCCAACCAACTAATACCTACTTATGTGCACTGCGATGCTGAGCTTCCTAGCTTGGTTGCCACATTGCAAATATGACCAATAGGATTCGGTCTGCACTCAAGACTAGACAACATGAAATTGGTTGAACTCCAGTGACCAATCAATACATGTAAGTCAGTCCTACAGGAGGTCAGTTGCGGCCTGAATAGCTCAGTGTTAAAGTCGCCGACTACAACACTAGGTGCAGCGGATTCGGACCTCAGGCGGGACTTCAGTTCTGTCGAGGTTGCAGATATGAACGCTAGTCTGCCAAATCACGACTATCTCAGATAGTCAAACGATATATTTATATACTATTACATTTTGTAGATGTTTTGACTTGACAGTAAACCTTTTGTTGTTTCACCATTTATGCTTGTTTACGAGTAAGTTTATTGTTCAAGATTCTACACCTGTATCAGCTAAAGTAACACGATATCACAGGTTGATTAAGAAAAGGAAACTAAATGATCAGATAACTGGTTCCATGAAATATATATTTATCATAAGCTTTCATTGTATTTACTAAAATAGGACACTATATCTACAAAATGATTGTCATAAGTTTTGATCCTGTACAGTATATGATGATGGCGTTGTGAGTAGTCATACTTGGTTATGTGATCTCTTGTATTCTATCTTGAGAGATGTAAGGCACGTGTTACGTATGCCTAGTCGCCGATTGCCTCGTCACACAATGTTGGCCGAAGTAGGTCCAGGCTGGAAAGCGTTTCGAGGTGTCCAGACTAAAACATGGCACCAATGTATGAAGTCTCTGACTGTTGGATTGAGCTACGTGGGGCGATGCAGACTAGGTGGTTGGGGTCGGCGGGACAAGAGGAACGAGTAGTTGGAGATTGACTTTAGGTGATGTGGTTGAGAACCGATGTCAGTGGTGCAGATGTATACATACATTATCCTCATGTTAACGACGCTATACTGAATCTCACCACTTTCTCATTCTTCGTTTCTCTCTCTCTCTTTTAGTACTTTATATTTCTTTTGACTGCATTCACTTATCTTCATCTTGCACCTCACTGCCTTTGTACTTGATGTAGTGATATGAGGTGTGGCAACTCGAACCGTTACACAGTAATGCCTGTGTCCTAGGTTGATCTAGATGATGGATGAAAGCACCGACATATCCTAACTTAACAGAAATTACCTTCATCTCATATTCTTGGTTTCAGAAATAACAAACAGTGGATAATGTAGATACCGTTAAAATAGTATGCATAAAACGTGTCAAAGTCATAGAATAAAAGCCACTGTTAGAATGAATGAATTTCACCGTCAAAGCTCGAACACGGAGTGTTACACCTTAGAATTTCTTAAATGATGTTCAAACTAGACACCAACAATCCTTCATAATGAAGGTGATCAAACATACAGACATCCTTAGTTCAGTTACCGACTAGATATTATTGTTCGCGTAATGTTTAATGTATTCCATTGAGTAGAATCTTCAATGAGCCAAAAAAATGAATACTTGATTGCTAGTAGTCATTATGAACTAAATAATTATTAACATTTTGTTTTGCTTCTTACACTTCTTTCACATGTACATCGTTATAGGCGACCTGTTGTACAGATGGTCTTCATTGTTGTCCATCAGGAACAACATGTGATTATAAGAAATTCTCTTGTATTCAGCTGGATAATACTACTAATAATAATAATAAGAATGGCAAAACAGCTGGTGAATTACTTCGTAAGCATGAACTACAGTCAATTGTTGAAATACTTGGACATCATGTTTGTCCAGATCATCAATCTATGTGTCCAGACGATAATACCTGTTGTCAACTACTTGATAAATCATGGGGCTGTTGTCCTCTAAAAGATGTAAGTTTATTAAACCTATATGGTAATATTTTCTAGGATAATCACTTTTTTTATTTATTTATTACAACATATATGTATAAACTGACCGATATTGTCACTGATGTATACTGCATATCAGTAGGAATGCCAAATACCCTTTTTATAATTCGATTTCCAGTTGTTACCAATTAGATGGTTAGCACTTTGTTCCCTGGTGAAAAAAAAATTTTTTTTCCATCATCAACTAGATGAAGTTGTGCTCTTTGATTTTCAATGACATGGAAATATTTTTGTCGTTTAAAGTACATTTTTATCATACCATTAATTGAAACACTATATTTGGTAATGTCTATTAAGTCATTGAAAAATATTAGAATTTAGATGTTTAGAGAGAAAAAAGAAGAAAGCTACTCATTATTACTGGGATAATAACTGTCTCATTCGACTTGGAAAAGTCAACTGAGATGTCATGGATATATACTGCATATGCCTAGATGAACTTATCACTTACATCGATGTACCATACTAGAGTGAGTTGGATTATGTTGGAAGAAGGTTCATGGTGGCCAGATTAAGATATGACTCCAATCGATGAAGTCTCTTACTGTTGGTCTGAAGTGTAGTGTACTTAGTTGTGTAGTCTCTGAGATGTTAAGAATCAGTGGTTGAGGACTCTTGGTGAGATGAACTGAAAATCGGTCACAGTGTTGCAGATGTATTCACTTACTCCTTGACTTCTTCTGAAGTTTATTTTTTACTACTGTGATACACTTATGTACGAGGTTCTATGTTGACTCAATTGTGTCTGTGGATTGAAAGCTTAATTACATAAATCTTAGGTGTTTATTGTGCAACAATTTTTCATGGAGAAAATTTCTTCTAGAGACATACAGATAGATCATTGTAGATTCTGTCACAGAAGTGTACTATTTCAAGTTGCCACATTTTTCAACGCCATACAGAAGGAAACTGAGAAGTAAACAAATGACCTAAAAGTTGGGAGTGTATAAATGAAAGTTGGTGAAAATATTCAAGACCTGCTGTTATTATTATTATTATTTGTTTTCGAGTCATTTCACCAACAGTTTTCATCCATGCATCTTGATGACCCCTACACCTTCTTTACCCGACTCAAACCAACAGTCAAGGACTTCACGAACTATTATCATGTCTTGGTATGATCAACTTTAGCCTTACAACTTCATCTTACTTCGACTAATTGTTACACATCGAGATAGGCAATGTCTCGATATCCACAGCATATGTTCAAGCCATCTTATTTATTGAAAATTCGAGGAATGATAAACATGTAAAAATTGTAGAAAAACATCTGTGCATACATAAATGATTTCATGAATGTACAGCACTTATCTGTTCTGAGGTGGTAGAGCATATGTGTAGCTCAAGTGGATGGTCTTGATTGTATTATTCTTCTCTTAGCTGGGTTGTTTAGTCATGGACAAGCCTTCATCGTCTTTCTAGATGACATCAGCACTAAATTCAGTTTGAAGTGAGGTGTCAATATCTATCTGTTAGCGATTTAATAGCTTGCCCTGACAAACTGGTTTGTGATTCGTTGTCTCCTTTGATTGTTGTGTCATTAACTGTATAGATTTTCCTGTTGGCTGTCCCTCTGCTTCGACCATCATCTTTCTGTCCTTTATCCTTTTTCTAATTGGTTGATAGATTGGGTCTATGTCTATACATCTATTAATTGCCGACTGACTGACTGACTGACCTGAATGCCAAGTGTCTAGGAATTCTCTGATGATATTCTTTGTGTTTCCTCTCTGTATCCAAGATTTCTACATTGTCGAAATTGAATTCGTTTCCATAGTTGTTATCCATGTCCATTGAAATGAATGATGAAATGTCATGACGTTCATGTAGGCGAAGGCGAAGAGGGTGACCACTTTGTCCAATGTGGTGTGTTGATTACAGTTATTGCAGTTGATTTTGTAAATGATATTTGGTGTGTGTATGGTTGTTGCATCCTTTGATCTACATATTGGGGTTTGGAGGGAATTTGTTGCTAGGTGAGTGTGGTCACATCAATTCCAAGTGGTCTCAGTAATCTTGTCATGATATTCTTTATGTTATGGTAGGACGATGCGTTAATTGATTTCTGTCGATGACTTTGTAGTTGATGATGCACGGGATAGTGATCTTCTGATAAAGTTTCTTGGGTAGCCGTTCTTCTTTGGTATGAACATCAAGTAATTTTCCTCTTTTTTCCGTGAAGTTGTTGTACTGCAGTGCAATGTGTTCTCGCTCTTTTGAATAGTTTTTGCATGCCACTAATTTTGTGTATTGTTGGGTTGTTGTTACTGTAGTTGAGGAATTTTGATTAGTCATTGTGTGTTGGCTTCCTGTACACTTGAGTTTCTCGCTTTCCAGCATTTGTCCTATTGACTAGAACATCGAGGAATTGTAGTTGGTTGTTTGACTCCTTCTCCATTGTGAATTTGATGTCATTGAAAACGTTGTTGATGAAGCTGTGAGGTGTTTTCTATATCATCATTTTCAATGATGGCAAAAGTATGGTTTACATAGTGAATCCAAATTTTCGGTTTAATCATAGTTAGAATGGTGGCTTCCGGTCTCTACATCACCGTTTCTGCAATTAGTCCGGATGTCCGTCTGATCTACCTACTACATGAATGATAGTTCACTGATAAGGCAGTTATAACAATAAACTAGTGACTTACTGATTAGGCCGATTGGGGATTTCATTCACCCGTCCAAGTCTTCGAGTGGAATCGAAAGGGGAAACGATGAGTTGGGCGTCCCAGCTGAGGATGACATGGAGGATCCTGACTTTGACGTCCTCATCCGTGCCGCCTGTAGTTGAAATAGTGCTACCTAGATAGGTGAAAGAGACTACTTCCTTTAGGTTTCCCCCGTTCGTGGTGATTGGAGCTTGTTGTTGGTGGTGGTGGCGTTGGTTGGTTATCATCATCATCTCTGTCTTCTCTACATTCACTTGAAGTCGTGTCTTTGCTGTCTCGCCTCTTCTGACAACTTGTTAGTTTTCACCTGTAGATCTTCAAGTTTGTGTGACATTAGACACAAGTCATCATCGGCGAAATCGAAATCTTCTAGGATGTTTTCCCCGGTCCGGCCAGCGTATCCCTCTCTTCTCGCTCCTCACGGTCTGTTTCATGATCCAGTCCACTACAACCAGGAATATCATGGGTGATAGTAGGCAGAAACCTTGTTTTACTCCTGTCTTCACTTCACTTCAAAAGCATCACTGAGCTTCCCATTATGAATTACTTGTCATGTGGCGTCTTCATATAGTTGCTGAATGAGATTGATAAAAGTTTGTGGTATTCCGTAGTATTGATGCACTTGTGAAATTACTTGTCAGTCGACGCTGTCGAAAGCCTTCTCAAAGTCGATGAAGTTAAGGTAGAGGGTTGACTGCCATTCTATACTCTGTTCTATGATGATGCGTAGTGTAGCGTTGCAATTTGATCCGCACATGATTTATACTTCCTGAATCCAACCAGCCTGTTCCGGTCGTAGTTTTGAATCCAGCGCATCTTATAGTCTCTTCTTCTTATGAATAGCTTAAATTAATTGACAATAATCTTTTCAATACTGTACATGTATATTTCAAAAAAATTACTTTGACCACAAACTATTGACTAGGTTCACAGGTCCTTATATATCTCTTTTATAATAACTTCATTATAATGTTAGTACTTAACTATTTAAAACCTTATTAATTTGATCATAGTTCAAATGCACATCATCTTACTAATTGAAATTGAATTGAACAAATTACAGGTTCAGTTTTAATGGAATCCTTTTACTCTTACTCGAAATATACATTTATATGTTATATTTTCTTCATGGAGAAAATAAAAAAATCATAAAGGAGTGAAGGAACAGTATCATTTACTAGATAATGTTTCGGACACAATCTATTGTCCATATTTATATCAGGTAACCAACTTTACAACTTTGAGACAGAGTTTATATACTCTTAATTCTCTCACCTTCTCTGTGATGACAAGGATAGTAGAATTTTCCATATATCTGGGACACGTACAGAATCATTTCTATTAATGCATCTATTTGGTATTGATTCGATAAACAAAGATCTAGTCGTTAATATAAGTGATTATGATTATGATTATGAGTAATAATTTATGCTCGAAACGTAATCAAGTAAATAATACTGTATCACTGTGCGCTTTATATCAAATAAACAAATCTAATATGCAAAGATCTAGTCGGTTATCAATCCCCAACCCTTCCACCCAACTAAGTTAGTTTTTAACGTTATCGGTCTATTCCACCCTATTTTATGGTTGTGTGTAATTGGGTGCAGAGGTATAGCTGGACATTTCCCTAAATTTCTTATCTTGTAAGGATCTACTAATCTTGATTTAGGTAAGTTCTGTCTTCTGTTATGCTAGTTGACCCTGGTCGACTACTTTGACCTATGTATTTGACTTTGCAATTATTGCAAGGGATTTGGTAAACCAGATTACTTTGTTTAATTGCATCAATAGGATCTTTTAACTTACAAAGCTTGTTTCTAATGGAGTTTATTGGCTTAAATTTCACTCTAATCCCAGCCTGCCTTATTGAGAATTCTTCGTAATGCTTCTGAGATGCCTTCCTTGTACAGTAACACAGTAGAGACTTTGTACTCTCTCTCTCTCCCTCCCTCAACCCTGTTACCACTAATACTGTTTGTAGTAGGATTATTATTAATAACTCCTGTATTACTACTACCACTGCTAATCCTTTCCTTTCGATACCTCATGAATTTAGATGGGTAATTATTGAGATGGTTGGGATACGTACTACGTATGCCTAGTCACCGATTGCCTTGTCACACAATGTTGGCTGAGGTGGGTCCAGTCTGGAAAGCGTTTCGAGGTGTCCAGACTAAAACATGGCACCAATGTATGAAGTCTCTGACTGTTGGATTGAGTTATGTGGGGCGATGCAGACTAGGTGGTTGGGGTCGGTGGGACAAGAGAAACCAGTGGTTGGAGACCCTA